ACCACTGCTGTGTTAGCTGGGTCCCAAGGAGGAGCAATGGTTTGTTCAGAACTTTACAGACTAAATTGTGTGTTAAGACCTTCACTGCGCTCAGAGCACATGCTGCTTCAAGATGTAAATTCTTCAGGAAAGGGTATAAACATAGTTTGTTGTTCCCATTTTTAAAGTTTAGATTTTTACATGGTAAGATCCTTACATCAGTTATCTAAAGAGGGAATAAAAGTAATTCCATCCCAGCTAGTCTCATGGAAATGAGCACTGTTTCTCCCCTTTGTGCACGCTTCAACCAACAGATGTCACTGAAGATCCCAGTACCCAGAGGCAAAGGGAAGAAAGATTAAACAAATGGCAATTGAGCATAAAAAACATCCACTTCTTAAAACTGAGAAGTAAGTTTCCAAAGTAATAACATTTATTACACTGCATGCAACATTTTAACCAAAAATTTAAAGAAAGAAATTTCTTTTATTAAGTTGCTCTGGCGGAATGGATCATTGTACTAAGTTTTGAAATACATGTTCTTGAAGCAATTTAAAACTCATTAGAAATAATAGGCTTGGGCTAGTAGAAAATGTGGTAAAATTTAATCCTCATCCAAATGTTACCTGGGCTGTACAAACAGGAAATTGTTTTGTGCTACTGTGGCTAACCTCACTGCTGACCCTGAGCTGTAACGGCAAGAGCAGCCGAGAGCTGAGGCAAAATTAAAAACTTACATCAAAGTATATCATGACAGAATGTAGAGAAATAAAACAGCACATCAAAAGCATTCTTTTCCTGCCACTTTCACAGCGCTGCAAGGTGAGGTGTTTCACAAAATGTGTAACAAATCAGGTGCATTAGGCAATGAGTCCTCTCAGGTACCACCCTACCACTAACTAACCAACCAGGCACTGCTAGGACAGGTGAGCCCAGGAAGCCCAGTACAGATGGAGACAGAGGGATCACAAAATGCTCTGGCCTTTCCCACAATGGGTTTCCCCTTCCTTCACCTTGCCTAAGCAAAGAAATAATTCTGGCTCTGCTCTGTCTCCCTGTTACTCTTTCTTTCATCTTCATGTTCCTGGATAGGAACCTCATGACCCTCTTCAGAGGAAAAGCACAGCAAGAAAACATCACCGAAGCCTCACAAAACGGTTGGAAGGCAGTGTGGGAATCAGTGGGGGATAAGGGATAGTCTATTGTTTCATGTAAAGTGTATGTGTCAAAGTCACTGGTAACATAGCTGAAGGATGTTTTCCATTGTACCTTTGGTTTTAGGATATAAATCACTAAACTTCTAAACACTATCTCAAAGTCCAGCCAGTTCTAGGAATCTAACTCTAACTCCAGATGCTAGGAATCCAATACCTTCTGGCTTCTGTGCGCATTGCACACATGGGGTGCACTCACATGCAGGCAAAACACTAATACACATAAAATAAAAAAATTATGAATTAATATGCAAATACTATGACAAAGCTTATGACACAATTAGGTTTTGTCTGCACTACTGTATGTATTCCTTATTCCCTCTCTTATATATATATATATAAAAAGGCAGTAAGAAATATGGAAAAATGATTAGCTAAAGTCATGATGACTTCCGATGAAATTCCAATTCAAATACTTGCCAGCTGTGTAATTCCTGGCTAACTTCTTAATCTTGAATATCTTCAATTTCTTTCTTGTTAGTTACAGTAATCACAGTGGTTAAATAGTCTAAGGCCTTTTAGAACATTATCTTACTGAATTCTTTTTCTAAAAATATATTTATTCTTCTTTTATGTGCATGAGTGTTTTGCCTGTATGTATGCAGATACACCCATGTTGTGTAATGTCTGCAGGGGCCAGAAGAGGGTGTCAAATCCCCTGTAACTGGAGTTATGGATGGTTGTTAGCCATCATGTGGATGCTAGGAATCGAAACTGGTTCCTCTATAAGGGCAGCCAGTACTCTTAACTGCTGAGCCATCTCTCCATCCCTGAATTCCTATAAGCATTTTATAGTGTATGTATTATTCTCCCTGTTTAACAAGAAACTGAAGGCAAGGCAGGCTAAGCAACTTAACCAAGGTCATATAACTAATGAGCAGCAGATAATAATATCTATCCTGAGGACTCAACAGGGGAATGTATGATAAGTGATCTAATACAGAACAAGCACATAATAGCTGATCAAAAACTGGAAACTACCCGAACTACTCTTCTAAATCGAAAAGCAGATCTTTAATCTCCTATTCTTTCTTCTGAGCAAGACAATAATGCCTTACTACTTTTTTCGCAAAAAATGCTGGACCAGGTGTGGTGGTGCAAACCTTTAATCCCAGCACTCAGGAGGCAGAGGCAGGTGAATTTCTGTGAGTTAGAGGCCATTCCCTCTCTCAACACCCCCTCCCCAAACCAGAAAAACAAAAACAAGCCACAAACAAGTATGCATGTGCATGCTGTCTCTCTCTCACACACACACTCACACACACTCACTCACTCTCACACTCTCACACACACACTTTCACACTCTCTCACACACACACTTTCACACTCTCTCACAATCTCTCTCTCACACACACACACTTTCACACTCTCTCACACTCTCTCTCACACACACTCTCTCTCTTTCTCTCTCTCAAGGCTTTGTCTTTTATCTTTTGCTTCCTTTTTTCTCCTTTCTTTCCTTTCTGTCTCCTCTTTCAATGTAATTTTCACATAGTATCTTTCTTAGTTTTTGTTGTAATGCCTTTTCTGTGTCAGAAATCTGGATAGGAGACTGGATAGCTTTTGAAGCCCACAGATCTGACATTGTTCTATGAGACTCCTTTTGGTGTCACTTGCTAGATATACATTCTGTCCTGGAGAGCCAGTGGCACTGAAGAGGAAGGGGTCGAGGTCACTGCTCTTATTAGCCACAGGGCAATAGTGAATAAGCCCCAAAGGGAAAAACGCATTTAATGAAACTACAAAGAAAAGGACATGAGCATCTCTCTAGGAGAACTGTACTGTACAGAGCCCAGCTCAAAGCTGGCCTTCAGTCAGTTCAGGCCAAATTAGATTACAGAAGTTGGGGCTGAGATGGCTCACGGTTTGAGAGCATTAGCTGCTCTTGAAGGTTCAGTTCCCAACACCCACATGGTGGCTAACAACTGTCTGTAACTCCAGTTCCGGGGGATCGAATGCTCTCCTCTGGCCTCCGTGGGCAATGTATGACAGAAGTACACTTACATACATGAAGGTAAAACACTCATACACATAAAAAAAATTTTAGATTACAGAAGACTCTATCCCCATTCCCTGCCTACATAAAAGTCTCAGAGTAGTTTCTACTTTTCAGAACCTCCAGACTCATTTCCAAAGTGGCTATACTAGTTTACACTCCTACCAGAAGCGTTAAGAGCTCCCCTATCCCCACAGCCACACCAGCCTTTGTTGTAATTAGTATCCCTTATGATGGCCATTCTGACTAGGTGAGACAATCTTTGTTTGCTTGTTTGTTTGAAGACAGGGTCTCCCTGTAGGCCCAGTTGTCCTAGAACTTTATATGTAAAACAGGCTGACTACTCTCAGAGATGTCTGTTTTTGCCGGAAGTGCTAAGATTTAAAGGGATGTGCCAGCATACTCATCAGAGATGGAATCCTAAAGTAGTTTTAATTTGCATTTCCCTGGTTAAGGATGCTGAACACTTTTAAAGCGTTTCTGAGATTTAAGACCTTCTCTACAAGGGGGAATCCATACCTAATAGTATGACCCAGGTCCAAACCCAAGACTGAAGAGGTCTTAGATCCTAGCAAGAAACCTAATACTGTTGCTTTGCTGAACTGACATAACACTAAACCACTCTCTAAACAGCTATGTTTCTACCCACAGACAAAGACTATTCTTAGCCTTAATCTTGGAAGCTCCTCCTTAAAGTCAACAGAGATGAATGCAAAGACCCATGGCTGCATAAGATGTTGAGAATAAAAGATGGCTGATGGCTCCGCTCTAAGCAAGACATCTATACCACCCCCTTAAGGCTCAAGGAACACTACAGAAGAGGGGCAGAAAGAATGTTAAGAGTTGGAAGACAGGGAGAAGGGCTGTGAATCCTGTAAGCGTGATATGGTCATTGTAATCATGAACTCCTGGTAGCTGTGCCTATTGGCACTGGGCCTACATAAGTCAGACCCTCCTAAGAGTCAGCTATGGATGGAGGAAGGGGCGCACTGGCTCCTACCACTTACTGATGATTTATCAGCAACTAATAGATTCTTGAAAAGGGAGTGGCATAGTGTTCAGCTGCATACCCACTGGTGTGCCCACCAGGCTCTGATAGATAGTTCCAAATTCAGATTCACACAGACTCTGTGGGACACTAAATAAAATAAAAACTAATGAATATGGGAAATAGATTTGTAAGGAAGAAGGGAAGTTGGTAGGGGTGAGCAGGAATTAAGTGTGTGTGTGTGTGTGTGTGTGTGTGTGTGTGTGTGTGTGTAACCAGAATGCATTATAAACACATATCAAATTGTTAAAGAACAAAATTGATTAAAGTCTTTGGCTATTATTAACTAGAACAATCTTGACTACAGACCTGTTTCTAGGGGTGCAGTACCCAAAAGTTCCTTGTAACAAAGCACCTACTGCTGTATACAAGGAATTTCCTGAACATTCAATGATAAAGTGGTCTTAGCATTCACTGCTCTAAGACAGCAAACTCCCTGATGTAAATTTGAGAAATTCTGAATATATTGTAACTTTTTAAAAGTCTATCTAGTATATTTTTTATCCCTGACACTGCAATTTTATCCCAAAGAAATTTATCAAATTGCCAGGATGTCACTATCCTCTCCTGTCTGATGCCATCAGAAGCTACCTGCTTTTTGCCTTCTCCTGTCTGACGCCGTTAGAAGCTGCCTGCTTTTTGCACCATTACCCACTTCACAAGTTCATACAGATATGAAGGTTCAAAAGAATAAAATAACATCTTTCTTTCTAGAAACAGATAAAGTTATACCGTAGAGACAAATATGGAAAAGGATATTCACCATAAGTGCAAACCATTTTGCTTGCTTCTCTGAAGAGAAGAATTCCATTAGGAGAGGATACATCAAAATTCAAACGCTGCGACCTAAGAAATATAGCAAAAATCATATTATTTCTGCAGATAAGTAAACCAAATATTGGTTTTAAATGCCTGGAATTTTCTTTGATTAGAAGCAATGCAGTGCACTTATCCTTTAAAGTGCCACTCTAACCCTACAGCTATTGATAAATTACTGACAAAAATTTCCTCCCTATAAAGGACAACTAAGATCAGTATTCGCTGATTCAAAGGGTTCATTTTCTAATTTATCAGAATAATATCCTGACATTTTACAGCACAGATATTTTACCTCTTCTCCTTTCATGTAAAGTGGCTGGTGGATAATAATTAAAACCTTTTGATTTTAAAAATAAAAATAAACACCAGGGTATGTAAGTTTACATAGACACTTACATAGAGATATAGTTATACATTTGACATCTCTCACAGTCTGATCCCCATTTTTAAAACAAATTCTGAAGTGACAGAAAATGTAGGCTCCTTTAATAATGTGCAAATGTGTAATGAATCATCTCATACTTTGAGTATATTTCAAACACATTACATTACAGATCATAGTTTCTACTGCACAAAGCTTAACTAAATCAGAAACAAGTGCCACAGTGCTCTGAGAAATAGTCTTTCTCTGGTTCCTGACAGGTGAGTAACAATATGAGCAGAATGAAGGGTTGACAAGCCATTCTGACATAATATTTGCTTTTTAATCCCAACCCCCATTTTACTTGGCCCTGAGACACCATGCTGCTAAGCTTTTAAGATATAGTGGTATTTTTTTTTCAGAGTTGCAAAAAACCAAAACCAAACCAGCGGACCAATCAACTAAAAAAGACCATCCCCCAAACCTCAAAGCAAAGGCATTGGTAATGTATTGTTTGCTAGATGAACTGTTGGTTTTTCATGTTTTTACAAAATAATTTAGTATTACGTGTAATAATGTTAGAAATACTGTTATGAACATTTGATAATTATATGCCAATAGGCATTATAATTCCTGATTAGGAAAAAGAACTGCACACACATAAATCACATCAGATAATTCATATTAGATTCTAAAGAAATATACAAATAACATTTCATGAAATAACAGATTTTTACATGGTAATCCTTGGTCACTTGGATATAAATTACCTGCTATGACAGACATAAAATGCTTTATAACATACACTTTTTCCTTTTGTATTAAATGTTATTCCCGTAATATATATCACATGTCTGATTAACAACAATATTTAATGAAGAAAATCTCTAAATTTCCCTGAATATTTAAGGTACCTATGAGAACGCTTTCTTAAAAATCAAGAGGTTTCATAAAAAACAATACTCACATTTCTTTGGCAAGCCTTTCTCCACCTCTTATTTATGAATAAAAAAATTTAAATTACTGCTGTGAATTCAGCAACAGAGATATAGCACTGAGCTGCAAGTCATCTTCCTTCCCTGTCTGGTTATCTTCCCTTCAGCATGCTCTTTACAAAGACTGATGAAACAAGATGGCTAAGTGACAGGTAATTTGGTGCTAAGCCACATCCACAATGACATATTTTAAAGAGGTAAATACAATTAACTTGCCACATCTTTGTTAATATTTATATGCAGAGCATTTGAATCCCTGCTGCTCTGCACAAATTATAAGGTCAACTAGGCAATTTCTGAAGTGTTGTGGTTCCAATTTTAGAGAAAACTGAGTGTATCTTCCAAATGTATGCAGCCAGTACCACAAGGATGAGCACTGAGTGAACACAGACAAACAACTACGTGCTCATGGGCTGCTCTGGCACTCAGTTTCCTTATTCACCAAGTGAAACATTTCAAGTCAGAGATGGCTAAATTTCTGTTCTCATTTTAAATTCTATAAAATTGTAGTTTAAGCAGTCAAAGTGTTAAAATAGCTGCCCTTTCCCTCTATTTCGTGACTGAATATTTTAAATAATAGTGGCTTTAAACTATTATTTAAATAATATCATTTAAATTAGTCTTTCAACGTTTTCCATTTCCCCAAATTTCTATATGAGAAGTATGCCTTCTTCCTTTCTCTTTTTCAGTCTTATATACACATAAGTACACTGTAATTCTGTAACTGGTGCGTGTGTCCCTGTGTGTCATCCATCGTCCCCTGTCCCATGCCCACCCCCCATCCTCTCTAGCTGATGTCTCTGTTGTTTTCACCAATTATCTTCCTGGGCTGGGCTAAGCCTTGAAGATACTCACAGTAGGCAGGAGTTTGAGCCCTGAAGATTGTGGGCAAGAGCAGCCTGTTAGTCTATTCTCAGTCACATTCCTTACCTGTTGTGCATCAGTTCTGCCATAAGTTTCAGAATGGGAGTAGTACATGCCGGTTCTCCATACCATCGTTCCACAGCCCTCTGAAGCACTGGAAGATATGTTGGATACCTTTCATAAAGCTTGTTAAAGAAATTAAGGTAAGGGCTAAGAGCTGGGAATGTAGCTCCATGGCAGAGAACCTGCCTAGCACGCTTAACTCTGGGCTCCATCCCCAGCATGGCAAAAGCAACAACAAATTGTTGAAAATTAATGGCATTTAAAAACAAAAAATGGAAATATACATTTCTTCTACATTTAGTGCACAATGGGAACTTTATAAACCACTCTTTCTAATCTGTGCAGCTATACTTTAGGGGAGCTACAATCAGTGTGCTTATTTGTACCCATAAGTTAAACTGATCTATTCCTAGTATGTATAAATGGGAGATATACTTTTAAGTATCATGTTAAGTAATAAAGAATTATGCTTTATCTTATAGGGAAGGAAAGTAAATTTAGACAAAGAGGAATGACAATATATTTGAGTCATTATTATTGCGGTTTCTGTGAGCATTATACTGAGAAAAAGACTATTATGAAATTAAAAAAAATTCACGAAGGAGGGAGAAGTGCCAGTAAATCTTATGTACGCATTCCAGCTTCAAGATTACCTACATCTGTCTTTTTTTTTTCTTTAAGTTGTAGATGTCTCTGTTTTGGTATACAATAGCTCCAAGACACATCTGGGATAAAAGTTCTGGGTTACAACTAATCTACTCAAGATCGCTGTTGCCAAAAGGTAGCGCAGTGTACACACAAGAAGAAATTTTCTTTCTCTTTAAGTAAAAAAAAATTTTGGCTTATTAGTATTTACAAAACAACTTCAGCACACAGAAGTATTTAAAAAAATTAAATCAAGGTCTTTCTTCATTTTTTGAATACTTCTATGTGCTGTAGTTGTTTGTAAACACTAAGATACTTTTATTTTTAAAATTTTATTTTAAAAATTTTAAAATTTGAACATTCTTATTAAAAGGAAGGGGTGTACCCCTCTGATAAGCCTATGTCAGGGACCATCACAATCTGAAAAGCTGACTCAGCTCTGCTGGCCTTCAACCCACAACTGGCCTCTTCCCTGCCAAATGGAGACATAAGGATAAGACTAAAACCTCAAACCAGAGCAGGAAAATCACACTTTCTGTTTCTTTTTCTAATCCTGATGTCCTCATCTCTTTATTTTAGATGAATGTGCTGAACTGGATCACTATGGTGCTCCTTTCTGTGTGGTGTTACAGAATGCTCCAAGGTAAAAAACTTCTCTCTTCATCAAATCCCTCAGCATGGCATACAAGGCCCTTTACAGTATGACCCCTGCCAGCCTCTAACCTCTTCTCTTAGCATTTCTGCTCTATGCACTATTTGGCTATTCCTAACTCCCTGGAAACCACTGGATTCCAACTCTTGTCTCCATTTCTCTATGCACTGTTTCCTTCTACCTAATCTTCTGCCTTTCAGTACTTAGTTCAAGTTTCATCCCTCTAGGATATTTTCGCTATCAGGCCAAAAGGCACCAAATCTCTTGCTCATCTATGTTCAATGAGTACTTTTGACTACATCTCTCTGTGAGACATGGTTGGGTGCTTATATTATCTGCCTGTCCTACTAGAGCACAGACCTGTGCTTCCTATCATCTTCCTACCAAAGGCTACTTGTCCCTCAGATTCCAATATAGGTGTCAATGATTCCAGAAAGACTTTCCCAACACCACATACACACCCTACACCACCCCTGGTTAACTGACTCCTATGTATGGCTGTACTAGCATATCACAACACTTGTCTATCTATTCCAAGCTCTATGAGGACAAAAACCAAGCACTTACTGAATGTACAGGCCCGGCACAACCCAAATATTTGTTATTGTAAACCTGCTAACCTACAAATGGGATAGAGCCCATGCCATTAGAACCATCTTTTGATTATTTAAACCGTGCATTTAACTTTGGGCTTTAAGATACCATTTATATAATGCTCAGTGGAAATAAGCCACCCCAAGCCTGGAGAGTGGTGTGTTCCCCACAAGTGGAACAGTAATCATTTGCCCCTCTACAGGTATTATGCTAAGGTTGTATTTACTGCAGTATTTCTCTTCAAAAGCACTGTTTTAGAGTCCCCAGAGGCACTGGTGAATAAAACCTTATGAAAATTCCCGCCCTCATGGAAGTAAAATAAGCATATATTAGAAAGTTTTACAAAGGAAAATAAAGCAGGGGATAAAGAAGATATTCATGGGTGAGAAGTTAGTTGTATGAAATGATAAAAATAAAACTAAGGCTGGTGAGATGGCTTAGTGGGTAAAGGTGCTTCATGCCAAGGCCTGACTACCTGAGTTTGATCACTGGACTCTACATGATGAAAGCAGACAACCGTTCCCTACAAGCTGTCCTCTGACTTCTACACATACTCTATGATGTGTGTGCCAATATAAGTGCATAAAAGGTCTGTTTAGGTTTGTTATATATAAAGGATGAAAAAAAATAATATACACATAATCTTAAAATTTCTATGGTCATAGTTTAGTCAACTAATTTAAAGTCACTGGACTCTACATGATGAAAGCAGACAACCGTTCCCTACAAGCTGTCCTCTGACTTCTACACATACTCTATGATGTGTGTGCCAATATAAGTGCATAAAAGGTCTGTTTAGGTTTGTTATATATAAAGGATGAAAAAAAATAATATACACATAATCTTAAAATTTCTATGGTCATAGTTTAGTCAACTAATTTAAAGAAAATATAAATCTAGTCAATGTTTATCTGAGAATATTTGGTTCTTTAACAAGCCTTATCTATGCAGCACATGTTAATTAAAAGTACCAGACTGGTGGAACTAACCTTATTGGGTGTTTAACAGCCATA